TGTAGTTTGACCACTTGACCCCGAAGTTTGGTTTTGCACAATTTATGGGCAGCTCACTCTCGTGTGCCCGACCTCTGTGCATTGGTAGCACCTAGGAGGGTCCTGACACTTACCCGAGTGGTGTTTCTTGCATTTGTTGCACTTAGGTACCCTCAGACCTTTTGACCTCGAGTTCTGGCCACGCGAGCCTCGACTCCACTCAAGTGATAGTGTCTGCGCCTTGAAGGTTTTGTCACCCTCAACGTTTGTCCTCCTTGAATGTCTTTGGGAATCGTTGTCTCCTCGCTTCCTTTTCCTTACTAACAGTACGCTCTCAGCTTGCCTAGCTTGGCGTTTTTGTATAAGCCTCACACGTTCACGTTGAAGGCAATCTATGACCATGCCCATTTGTTCAATGGGTGCACCATCACGGTCCTCAACACCCAAATCATCTTCCTCATCCCCCGAAGCCTTGTTTGGTTCAATTTTGCCATGACAAAGTGATTCTTCCTTGGTCTTAACATGACCGCCACTCACGATTTGAGCTTCTAGCATTTCGTGAACCGTACCATTGGTACTAAGGACTCTTCTCGGTTGGCATGCCCATTTCCACCCGGTGCAAACCTTTCCGAGTTCTCCCTATTCATAATACCACCATCACCCTCCATCGCTGAAAGTAATAATTAGAATGAGTCATTAGACTCATTTCAATTGTCAACTGACAAATAGGCACTTAAGACATCTTTTGGGCCAAGTCACCGCCATACCAATTGTTAAGGGCACCATCTTAACAATTAGAGACCTTGCAACTCAAACGCCAAAAGTTCTACAAGTACAAAACATTTATGCTCATGGTTTTCAAAATCATTTTAAAAAGAGAATTTTGAAACTTCATTATGAAGTTTATGGAACCTGGCTCTGATACCAACTTAATTGTCATGCCCCGGACCTACCCGGACACGTCAACAACCCGCCGTACAATACGAATAGTCAACCGCAGTCCAACACATCCATATTATACAAAGCGTCTTGAATATCATTCACACATATAACATCCATAAACAAACATAATAAGTAATTCATAATGCAGCGGAAACATTGTTTAAAACAAAATGGCCACACAGGGCTATTCACGAGCACGCAGGCTCTATTGTAAAATATCCATGAGCATGTTTAATATTGTTCAAAACAGAATGGAGAAAGCACGAACCACGTCTTCTCTCCAAATGATCACCCGAGCAACGGGCACAGGTAGTAGGCTCGAGCCTCAACCTGAAAAGGTGGTGGGACGCCCCCGAAGGGGTCAGTACTCTATACGGCTATAAAGTACTGGTGTGGCAGGTATCTAATAGATATACAACAAGTATTTCACACACAAGACCCTCAAATAGGGTGATAATATATATAGTCTAGGCCGTAATCCTAAATTACCCCTTTCAAAATATATACTTACTTTATATAAAGTCAAGTAGTCGGCTCAAAGGCCAATGTTTATTACAAAACATTTCCCAAACCCCGTCACTAATGGTCACGACAATACATAGGGTCCAACCCTTGCTTAAAAATGAGTTCTAAACAGCCTTCTCAAATTGCTAACTCACCCCTAATCCGTTGATACGAAAACAACCCCTAGAATGGGTGTTTTCCGGCGAACTCGTTTCCTAGTATGTTTCCAAGATTTGCTCTAGGTTAGTATCTAACCTTTACATCAATAAAATAAATTTATAAGAACCTATTATACACTTGGAGTAGTGTATAATAGTTCCACCAATCGTTCATATCATTTGGAAAATGAAAGGAAAGGTTTTGGGGTTAAAACTCACTTTAGGAGAGTAAATCCGTTTCTGCGAGGTTGTGTTTTGCTCGGACTACTTGGAAGCCTTCCACTACTCCGATTGATGCAAACCAGACCTTCACGGATTCCTCATCCTGAGAGATTTCTTTTGGTATCTTATACGACTTATTTGGACAAGTTACGCTCAAGTTATGGATCAAACAAGCAACCCTATCTACTGGACAACAAACCTGTGGCCAGCTTCTTTCTTCAACTCTCTCTTGAAGTGTGCGGCTCTCTCCTTCTCTATTATCTCAAATGGTTCGAATGGGGTGTTGGGGGGAGTGTATAGGAGACCTCAATCATTCTAAGAGAGCATGTGGTTCACAAAAAAGAAAGGTAGGATATTTGATTGCACTCAAACATTCGGTGGACCTCCTCTTTTATTTCCTTTTTGTAATGTTGTAGCTGTTAAGTCAAAAGTCCGCCCCACATAGTTGTCTGACCTATTCTTCTTTGTTTTGCAGGTACTAAGGTCATGTGGAGTGGATCCCAATTGATCCCAATCAATTTGGGGTCCAAAATATCCACTAATACTTCCAAAAATGGAAAGATGGGTCCTATTGTTTTATCTTTTGTCAAAAGATGTCTTTTGCACTCATTCTAATTTATTTAGAAAAATTCAACCCTCTACATCATATTATCGATTCCCAATATGTGTAGCATCATCCCAATAATTCATGTGATGAAAATTATAGAAGAAAACCTATTCCCATTATTTAGCTCAATAATGTCAAAGATGGGACCATAGGCATTTGTATTCTTCCCTAATCATCTTAACACTTATTTATGACATTATTATGCACAATGTTGGGCTACAAGCCGTGTGGTTCACCCTCGAGTGGGACTAGGACGCCATTCTTGAATACTTACTATTTTTAGCAGGTTGGGCCCAAAATAATGTTTGGGCTGCCCAACCTTCCTCAACTTGTCTTGAAAGGTTATGTATCATTATTTAGATACTGTTGGGCTCTTATATTCATTAATAAGGACCAAATAAGTATTCGCAAGCCCGACACTAATATACGAGTTCGAACAGTACAATAATCAATCATGCACTACGTAAAACATTAATCGTTTTACAATTGTTTGGAAATTGGGAATTCAATACATAAACTTTGAATTTTTAATTGAATTTTCAAGGACGTTCGCGTGCGGTGTCACACAAGGAGTCCCATTTAGGTAAAATAAAACATTAACTCCCATTTAAGAATTTTCATCATAATTTAGTCCTATTTAAGACAAAAAACTCTTTTAGTTAATACCCCATACTTCTTTCACTTTATTAGATAGTTAGATTAAACTCCATGCCTCCGCTTGTTTCATCCCTAAGTGCTTCTCCAACAAGCACCATTTCCTACACCAAAATGGTCGATTCGTCATTTTTTTGCTCCAATAGTTGCCCCATCCATTACACCATTTCACCATATATGGCGCATCACCACCCCTTGCACCATCTTATTTTTTTATTATTTCAAATGTGACACAAAATTTTGATTGTTATAGTTTTGACTCATTTTTAGAACAACAAATTATAGAACAACAAAATTATATTATTAATTTGATAGAAAATTAAAAAAAAAGTATAATAAAATTTAAATCACACAATATTATAAATAAAGTTTCAAATCAAAATAACATAATAACCGAATACAAATGATACTTAAGAAAATAACATAATTAAAATTACAATTAATAACACCATTAAAATTATAAAAAACATTATAAAAATCATACATAATACATACTAATTTAGAAATTAGTAGTCATTCAACTCATACATATTTCATGCGTGAAATATTGACTATAGTAGAATTTTAGTTTGTATTTTTGAAATAATTTGTGAAATGCCAAAATACATCTTAAATGAGGGGCTTATGTATAAATACATGATAATTAGATAATTAAATATAATAATGTTAAAAAGTTAGTAAAAAGAATAAAAAATGAATATTCCTTTTTAGTGATGAAAATGGTATAACTGCTGGATATAAAATACTATAGGGAAAACTGTCAAATAGGTCATCGAACTTTCATAAAAAAGTCAATTAAGTCCTTCTATAGTAGACTCTGTCCGGTCATCACGATTTGGGGCGGTTCCCGATGGAATTTTTTGATGAAATTTTTTGAGCATCTTATTCATCAAGTCTAGTTTACTCATACCAAATTTCATCTAAAAATTTAATCGGGAGCGTATTCAAATTAATTCGAGAACGCAAAAATGCACAGTTATCTTCAAGAATTAATTTGAATGTGTTCCCGATTGAATTTTTAGTTGAAATTTGGTATGAGTAAACTAGACTTGGTGAATACGATGCTCAAAAAATTTCATCAAAAAATTCCACCGGAAACTGTCCCAAATCGCGACGGCCGGACAGAATCTCATATAGAAGGACTTAATTGACCTTTTTATGAAAGTTTGAGGACTTATTTGACAGTTTTCCCAATACTATATGATGTGATGTTTACACCATTTTAGTGCAAAAAATGGTGTAAACTGTTGGAGATGCCTAAGGTGGTGTAATAAAAACATGCACATGGGATGATGATGGATTATATTGATGGGAGAACTACGTTATAAAAGGCAACTGCTCGTACTGGCCTGGTATACATTTGTATCATGATATGCCTTTGATACCCAAATTTGATACTCTTCCATCCATTACTTTTGCTTTTTTTTTTTTAAAATAATGAGTTACGTAGATGATTACGGTTTAGTCAAAAGTATATTTTCCAAACAAAAAATAATCAATTAAAAGCTGTATAATATCACAGTTCAGAGGACTAAAACTGGAAACTGGAAAGTATGGTCTCCAAATATATACTACTCCATCCGTCACAATTTTACCTGTCTTACTTTCTTTTTTGGTTTGTCCCAAAATAAGTGTCAACTTTCCCTTTTTGGAAAGAAATATATGGTTCACAACATTTCACTTTAATATACTCAAATCTCAACCACAACTTTTACCTTTTCAACCACCTTATTAAAAATTGTGCCATAATAAAAGGAGACACATAAAATAGGACCGAGGTAGTACGTATATTGCGCAACAAAAAAAAATAGAGGATGAAGTCCCACTCAATATTCAATGCACATATATACTATGTTTAGTTCAAACGTGAAGACTTGGCATAAAGTTTGTCGTGGCGGGTTTAAGTAATTAAAGCACTCCATGCACCCTAAGCTCCGGCCTTGAAAACTCCATCTATCTATATAAGTGAAGCTCTACTATACACATCTCATCAACTACAACCCATCCATATATATTCTTACCTAGCTAGCTACCTATTACTTCGTATTAAACAACATACGTACAACCCCTTTGTTCCTAGCCATATCATCCTATTCATCTTCAACAACGTGAGAATTTTTTCCTATTTCTATTTGTTTAATTTGCTTGATAACTAGTTTAAGTTTTTTATGACTGAAACCAGCTCCCTGCACTTCCCCTTATATATGATAACAATGTCTACGAACGAAATGCATGTATATGTATATATATTAACTTTGTTTTTTTATATTATGTGCATATAGATTACACGTAAGTACGAAGAATGGCGAGCACCGCATCAACATGGTATTTGCTACTACTCCTTGCCTTTAGCTTCATGCTTCTTACGGAGGCTGCCCAGCAAAACGTTTCCCTGACTTTCGTTGATCATGCCGTTGAAAAGGGCGCTGGTATAAATTAAATGGAGTATATATATAATATTTGCTTGGAATATAATGAAGTTAATTATTAATTCGTTGTTCACAAATAATATAATGTAGTTTGCTTGGATGGGTCTCCCTCTGTATACTATTTTGACCAAGGAGAAGGTCAAGGGCTGGACAACTGGCTCATCTTTTTAGAAGTAAGTGATCCAAGAAAACTTGGTTATGTTATTTTGATTACAAGTTTGGAACGTATATCATATGGCTTTAACTTTTAATAATTCCCCAAATTAAAGCAATATGATGTTGTGTATTTGATGTATGTATATATATATATGGCGACTTATTTAATTTGAAGGGAGGAGGGTGGTGTTCAAACCAAAGCGAGTGCAAAGAGCGTTCCGAATCAAAGTACGGTTCGTCTACACTGAGGGATCAATACAGGGACTTCGAGGCATCTCTCCTCTCCAACGACTCACAAGAAAATCCAAGTAATTAAATTAACACCTTCAACTTATTAATTATTAATTACTAGTAGCTAGTGCCCAAAATATTAATTCTATACAAACTTATATCATATCGTTGAACACTTATATCGATATCTACATACTTATGCAACAAACTTGGGAAAATAAATTAGCTATACTATAATGGGGTTTTTTTGACAAAATTCACTAAATGGTACTAAATTAAATATCAATGTTTTATTTCTAAAATATCAATCAATTACTCCTATACATGTTTAATTTCTAAAATCAATGTTCTTATAATTTCGTCTGATATGGTATGTTTAAACTACTTTAGTGTGAGAATGATCATGTCCGTGTAAGAAAAAGTCGCACCATGAAAAGATAGAATCACTTAATCAGGCACAAAACATACGGAGTAAAATAAAACAAAACTTAAGATATATATATACTCCGTATTTAAGATGTACTTGCCCTTTAATTTGATGTACTCAATGAATTGAATGTGTTATTGTCTTTGATGTAGAATTCTACAATTGGAACCGAGTTTATGTTCCATATTGTGATGGATCTTCATTCACTGGAAACACGGAGGCCGCTGATAGTGTAAGTAGCTCTCTAATAATCGTTTTTTGTTGTTGAAATAATCTAACAATCGGTTATTTGATAACCTTATTCACGATATTCACATGTTTATACTTCTTAATTCATTTCTTAACATCTCTTTATTTCAAGGTTACAAATGTAACCTACAGAGGCTTAAGGATATTTGAAGCGACAATGGCAGATCTGCTTGCCAAAGGAATGGAACAAGCTCAAAATGTACGTAATTGACATCAACCCATTTTATTTTAGAAAAATGCTTGATGTACACGTTTGTGTGTACACCCACCTTTGATACACTTTTCTATCTACACAAACACAATTATATATATACAACTCTGTAAGGCTCCACGTAGCTGTCTATTTACAGACACCTGAGTAATTAAGACCTCATAGAATTGTCTGTATACAAACAACTCTGTCTGTGTAAATAGATAAATGTGACCAAGATGTACACAGAAAAAAGTGGAGACAAAATACGGCTCTTTAATTTATTTTTGAAATAGTACGTTTTAGCTTGATGGAGTATACTAAAGGTGTTAATTAATGTGCATCCCATCAAAGTAAGGATCCATATTTATTGCTTTTTCACAATATAGCTATAGGGGCATCAAAATAGAAATTTCATTAATTGAATATTCTAATAATAGGCACTGCTAAGTGGAAGTTCAGCAGGAGGAGTGGCTGCATTTGTCCACTGTGACCGCTTTCGAGATTTGCTTCCCATCACTGCTCAAGTCAAGTGCCTCTCTCTTGCTTCCTATTTTCTGCATATGTAAGTTTATTTTTATTATTATACGGAGTAAATTAAAATATAATTCCAAATATACAACCAAAAAATGTCTATTCACAAACTCAGCAAAATGAACACTAGTCAATATATTTTAAATCGAGGTGACAAATTTAAGCATACGGAGTATCAACAATGATCTACGTACTCCGTATATGTTATTTATGATTCGTATTGATGCGTTTTAATATCTCAAGTTGGAATGAAATTCCTCTTGTGATTATGATCCAAGTGCAATTTTGTTGTATGCAATGATTGAATTTCATACACCTTTTATTATCAGTTGAACCGATCTAATGCTCATCAAAATCATTCATTACCAAGTGCACTTATTATGAAACAACATAAACATGGAATTCAAGCCATGAATTCAGCGCAAATATTTGGTCTAACAGCCCATTTGGTAATAGCCAAAATAGTTGGAGTGGATGATTTTGCTGAAATTTATGAAGTTGCGGTTGAAATGACTTTTTTTGACTGATTCTGTTGATTTATGAAAAAAGTTATATTTAAAATATATTTTATTAATGAAATAAATATGAAATTATATGAAAAAACAGCTAAAATAATCTTCTACAGTAACTTCAGCCAATACGGTCAGAAAAGTAATTTCAACCTGAAGTTTTCTTATTATTACACAATTCAGCGCGCGAAATCAAAAGTTATGTATGTTTGGTGAAAAATGACCAATAAACTCGATAAGTTGAAAAACAGGATCTACAAACGGGCTCTTAATATTATTGCTAGCGTTGCATAAGTTGTTTAATGTATTTAAGATATCTATATGATTCTTTTTTAAAAATAGGGATATTTTTAAGATTTATCCAATTTAATACTAATGGTTTAGATGTCTTCAATTCTCTGCATCGTAACTTATTTAACAGGGATGATTCAATGGGAGGAGGATATTTCGAGAATGCATTTGAGGCGTTGATTACCTTACATGTAATTACTTCCTGTGTACTACGTATTATTTACACGAAATATGATTAGTTTTTTTTTTTTAAATTGAAAGTTTCGATTACAATTTCTAAGTTAACCCAAATTAAGGTACTTCAACTAATGTACTATTTATAACATAACTTTAATTTACAGGGATCAACCGAAGCCTTGCCCTCCTTGTGTACTTCCATAATGAGCCGCCCCAGTCTTGTAAGTTATACTTGTATTAACTTATTATGGAGTATGTGTTTAGAGGTGGGAAAATTTCTAATGTAAATGTATGTGTATGAATATTTATAATCGGTATAAAATATATATATTGAAATAAAAAAAAACTATTAAAGTTTTAAACTTTGACTCTCACAAAACCAAAATTTCAAACTTCGGACGCTAAACATTGCTGTGTTTTTGGTTTACAAGATAGCTAGTGTAGGGTGTTGAAATGGTATTTAATGTTATCTATTTGCAATTACATTTTACAGTGTTTCTTCCCACAATACCTTACTTCTTATGTGAAGACACCAACCTTCATAGCCATGTCATCCTTTGATCATATACAGGTTAGAGTGTTGGGCATTCGACAATTTTTCATACTTTATTTTAAATAACTAAGTTTTATTGTTAATTAATTAGAAAATACGTATTAAAATTTTAAGTAGAATAAACTTCTTAACTTTTTTTGAGCGAATAAACTTCTTAACTTAAACTACAAAATACGTACGTTTGGGAAAGATAGGGACTTAGGGAGTATTGCAGTAAAAGGCTTACTTCATAATTCCTACTCCGTATTTGGTAGGGAGATTTCTTAAAATAAAAGTAAATGAAGTTTGGAATTTCATTTACTAAAATGACACTATTTACTGTCATCTTGTAGGCATGACTGTCTAATAGTTGCAGTACATTGCATTTCACATGACAATATTTATTAGAATTAGTAGTGGCAGTATTTTTCAATCATGCGGGATTTTTCATACATGACAGTAACAACTTCTATTTCTGGAAGAAAAATATAGTCGTCCTATTTTGGAATTCCAAACCTCATTTACTCCTATTTAAGGCAAATTCCCTATTTTCTATTGTTTTTGTGCATATTTAGTAGGCATAATGCATACCATTTAATTTTTTTACTATTTAAAAAGTCAAAAAAAACTTCTAATCATATATTTTACATAACAATAATTAGGAGTTTTTGAAAATAAATAAATCTCTTTAGAAGTTATACTGAGTAGTTTCTGATATAAAATTTGTAGCTTTTAGCATTAATTACACATAACAACTTATGAGTATTATACTAAACAAAACTAAATCGAAGAAACAACTTTTATCAAAAAATAATAACATTTTTTGTTAGATGTTTTTGGACACTAAAAACTAGGGAGTAACAGTTACTAATCAGCTCACAAAAGTACATTTTCAACTAATTTATCAAACATAGGCTTTATGAAGCACAGTTATACTTCCATGATAGAGCTTAAACTAGATTTAACCTTGATCTATTTAGTTAGTTCTTCAAGAACAATCACATCCGAGCCTTGGTATAATTTTTTTAGGATCGACTTACTAACATGAATCGGTACATGATATCAGATCTGAAAAGGAAAGAAAGATAAGAAAAGAAAAAGGATAAGATATGACTGAAAAAAGATATAAAAAAGGATAATATAAAAAAATAATAAATTAGTTCTTTTAAGAACACTAATTGTAGAATGAAATAAAAATTTAATTGATTAACGTACTACCAAAAATTATGTTTATTAAAAAAATGTGACTTTAAGTTGTTTTGATGTTTTTTTTATTACTTGGTGTGATTTCAGTCTCATACTACACATATGAGACATACCAAACCCTTATTTAAAAAGATCAAAATAGACTAGAAAAGACATTGAAAGTTGCAAAATATACTTACATAGACTAGACATCTACTAGACATCCCAGTTCGGACTTCGGAATATTACAGATCAGACTTAAATAAAACAAATCAAACCAGACCAGATCAGATTAATAGACTAGATCAAGCATACCAAATCATGAAACTTTATTCCAATTAAAAGCATTATTAGAATGTTTTCACTTTGATTACTTTCGATCCTAGATCAACCAAACTAGAGCATATCAGACCAAATTAGACTTAAATAGATCGGAACTTAATTAAGCAGATTAGACCAGACATATATCAAACCATATTAGTTGAGACGAGACGAGATCAGACTAGACAATTCATATTAGACTAGACTAGATTTAAATATACTAAATTAGACCAGATTTGAGTTCAATTAAAAATATCCGTACTCCTTTGTTTTAATATACAGTAACCATTATTTTTTTTACTAAAAGTAATCACGTCATTCTATTTTTATCCACTCATTTTTCAGTTTGATATTATATTTGAAACGCTTATTTACGTAAATACATAAACATTTTCACATGTTTTAAATTTTATTTCTAATGATGAGCGACTCTTTTACTTTGTTAGATAAGGTATAACCTGTCTCCCGCCCATGAGACGTGTCTGCTAAATTTTAATTGCACATTGGAACAGAAGAGAGCAATACAAGGTTTGTGTAGTCGTTATTCATTAATCATTTGGTAATATTGAAATAATTGAGTTAGCTGTTGAAAATGATGAAATACATTTGGAAAAATCGCGAAATAAAAGTAGAAACGTTTGAAAATTTCAAAATAAGATTGTTATGTTTTTATTATCAAAATAGAAGTAATTATTGTTAAGTTTGGAAAATATTGACAGTAACTAGTCTATTTTAAAAATAAAACATGATATAATTCTATTTTTGAATATACAAACGTTTTTATTCCTATTTAGGATAGTTTCCTAATATAATTCTATCCAAAGAACCTAATCCATTATGAAATACGAAGATACTATTATTTTATAATAAAAATTCGAAACAAATACGGAGTATGGAAAGTTGAAAATCACCACTTTTAGTATATAAAATATATCACATAGTTGAGATTAAGTTGAATAATAGGAAGTTCTAATTAATATTCATCTTATATGCTTTATGTCCCCAATAACCAATTTTTCATCATCTAGATCCATTACATTTATATTACATTTTCAGATTTAAGATGGGATTTGTTCCAAGCGCTGCCTAAAGCGCATCCCTTTGTAAGAGGATTTTGGTTTACTCACTGTATTGCTCATGAGTTGCCTTACAATTGGAATGATGTGAAGAAAATGGAAAGTATCATGGGCGATGAGGTAATATAAGTTTTTCTATAAGATAATATGTTAAGTTCATTTTTTGGTTAATACATCTTTTTAATTATTATCTGACAAATTTATTTATTTACAGACACTCCCTCGAGTATTTGATGATTGGTATTTCAATTATCAGTATCTCCTAGTCATTGATTCATCAGATGAACCAAGAAATTGTTCTGACATTGGAATAAGCCCCACATGACCAAATTGAACGTTTAGCATGATAGGTGATTATAAACATCTTTGTTGAGGAAATCCATTGTAACAGAGTTGTTAAATTTCTTATCAATGCTACTTTGAGTAACATCATGATATCATTAGTGAACTGATTTAAAACTTGTGTCACTATTGTATTTTTATGATACTAGTCTGGGTTTCAATTTTCAAATATTTAGGGAATGTCCATAAATTAAAACTTATCAATAACGAGATAATGGATATAGTGACCAAAATATCATCAATAAATACTCGGAAAAAATATGATCAAATTTATTAATGACACTCTTTTTCAATATATCTCATTAATGATGAAGTTTAATTTACAGAAGTAAAAACATTTTGAAATTCCAAAATAGGAGTATCATGTTTTTTATTCTCCGAATAGGAGTAATCTGCCAAGTTTGGAAGAAAATGTCATGTTTAAAGCCTTGTAATACCCAAACTTGGCAGAAATTTACTCCTATTTAGGGAATAGAAAACATGAGACTCTTATTTTGGAATTTCAAAACATTTTTACTCCTATTTAGGGAATTGTCTTTTTAATTTACATTCTCTGGAGTATTTGATAATTGGTACTTCGACCACAAGTATTTTCAACTCTTCAAGTCACTGACTCCTCCGATGAACCAAAAAGTTCTCAATTCGAAATAAAACTCAAAGGATTACACATAATTAGCAATATCATGTAAATATTTTGAAGCGCTATTTTCAGTAACAAATCTGTATGCTTGATAATTTGTAATGGGCACATTTTAAGTAACTGTTTGGCCTTGTTAGTTGTGGCCTTGTGGAATTATTGAAGTTGCAAAGTTTGTTGAATTTTTAACATTGAAATAAGTTTTTGTATTTAGTAAAGATAACTATTCCGTATAGGGTTGGGAAAAACTCCGGACTTTACCGCTTCGTGAAGTTAAGATAGACACTTAGGCTATGTTTGGCACAACGAGCTGGAGCTAGAGACTAATGTCTGAATTGAGGGCTATTGACTTAACTAAAACTATTGTCTGGAACTGAATTCTGATGTGCTGAATCTGGATTGCTAGCTGAGTGAAGTATACCCGTTTGGCAAAAAGAGCTGAAGTGTGACTCGAAAATGTAAAAATTACATTTATGGGCATAAGACATACTCCTATTATTCAAAAATACTTCACTGACTCCTATTTAGGGTGTATTAGAATGATTTTTATTTTATTTTTACTTTTTTTATGTTTTTTTTACAATGATTTTTTACAATGATTTTTATAATTTAATATTTATTAAAATATATTTCGTATTTAATAAATCTTTTTAACAAACCCTCCACATAAATCCTCTCATTTTCATCTCCGATGCATCAGTGCTAGTGTAGCACACAGTGTAAAAGGTCATCACAAGGTCCTGTGAATGTATGAACCCAATCGTCTTCATAAGGTATCACTTTATTCGAGGAACATATCTTCGCCGAATTCATTTTCCTCTTCTTCTTCCTCGTAGCGGTAAGTAGAGCTAGAGTTCATGAAACTGCTTATTGTTGCGTGAAGGTGAGTTAGACGCCGGTTGGTCGGTGGCTCGTGAGGCTGCGGAGTCCCATCTTCCTCTGTAATCTGGCTAGAACTCCATTTAACTCAAATCCCAGAGTCGAAATTGGAAGCACGAGATTTCTCGAAATTGATATCGTAAAATTACATACCTTATAATTATAGCCAGCAATTGGAGAAGAAGGTAACGAAGATATTTCCAGAAACCATGGTGAAGAGATAATTTTGCCATTTTGGGTATTACGGATGAACCAGCGCAGGGATAGTTTAGACATACATGCTGTTGAGCGACAGACTGAACACAAACGTTGGGTTGGGTAACATTTGAATTCAGCCCACTATTTTTAGCTCCAGCCTCATTCAGCCCTTTCTCCGAACAGTATTACTTCTACATTTATCAGCTGAATTAATAAAATTCCAGTCAATTATCAGCTTCAAGGTCGTGCCGAACACAGCCTTAGGAATCAAGGTAGCAATGAGAGCACACGATTTAAATTCTCCAATATGGAGATTCTTCCACTATACAAAAGAATAGTAGGATTTACAAGGATGTTACAAAATTGTCTCACTCAATGGTGGCTCACTCAAGCTTGAGGATAGGAACTTCCCAAGCTATCTCTCTTCTCTCTCAAAGAGGCTCTCTAACTCTCTAGCTTTCTCACTCTAAGAAGTGGATTCTCTCTTACTAGGATGGTTACGAATGAATCCCCCTACCCCTATTTATACTACTCCACCTTCACAACGAATGGTGGGGATGATTTTTATCTAAGGGTGGAGATTGATTCTCTAGAATGCTCCACACACCCTAGGAGTCTCCATACTCTTCCACTCTCTTCCATATCCTTCCATACTCTTCCATAGGCTTCCGGAAGGTTCTACACATCTCTAGAATATTCTAGAGGATTCCACACTATTCCACAAGCTTCTAGAGAGTTCTAGACTTCTCTAGGATTCTCCGGAACGTTCTAGAAAATTCTATAGAAAGCTCTAGAATTTTCTAGAACCTCTCCAATTAAGGAGGGATCCCAACAAATCTCCCCCTCCCGACTTAGTTGGGGGTAGTAGCAAACCTGCACCTTGACAACAGTCTTCGAACTTCTTTGTCGGTATTACCTTGGTCATCATGTCTGACCAGTTCTCATTTGTGTGAACCTTGTCAAGATTCAATTTCTTTTCCTCAAGGACTTCTCGGATCCAATGATACCTTGTGTCAATGTGCTTCGTGCGGGAATGAAATGTTGAGTTCTTCGCCAAGTAAATTGCACTTTGATTATCGCACTTCAACACGTACCTTTCTTGATCTATTCCCAGCTCGAGCAACATGTTCTTCATCCACAGCATCTCCTTGCAAGCTTCAGTAGCTGCGATGTACTCTGCCTATGTGGTGGATAATGCAACACACTTTTGCAGCTTTGATTGCCAGAAAACAGGTCCCCCTGCAAAAGTAGTTAGGTAGCCCGATGTTGATTTCCTTGAATCAATATCACCGGCCAAGTCTGCATCTGTGTATCCTTCTAACACAGGTTTTCCTTTTCCAAAGCATAAGCATCTTTTGGAAGTTCCTCATAAATATCAGAGGATCCATTTGACCGCTACCCAATTTTCATTCCTAGGGTTGGCCAAGAAGCGACTGACGACTCCAACTACATAGGCGATATCTGGTCTTGTGCATATCATTGCATACATGAGACAGCCTACTACCGATGAGTATGGAATCTTCTTCATTTCCTCCATTTCTTTCTCACTTGTTGGACTTTGCTTCGAACTCAGCCTGAAGTGTCCAGCAAGTGGTGTGTTAACCGGCTTTGATGTATCCATGTTGAACCGTTCCAACACTTTCTCTATGTACCTCTCTCGGGATAGCCATAACAGTCTCTTCGATCTATCACGAGTTATTCTCATCCCAAGGATTTGCTTAGCCGGTCCAAATCTTTCATGGCAAAACTCTTGCTTAGATCCTTTTTCAAGGCATCTATCTTTATGTGATCTTGTCCAACGATCAACATATCATCAACATAGAGTAGAAGTATGAGAAAGTCGCCACATTCATACCTCTTTATTGTAACACTTGAGATTTAATATAAACGGATTAATAGTACTACTCATACCAACAGAGGTGCATCTCCTTTTAAGGGAGCTCATCACCCAAGAACTCCAAAGTTAAGCGTGCTAGCACGGGAGTAGTCTTGGGATGGGTGACCCCCTGAGAAGTTTCTCAGGGCGCGCATGAGTGAGGACAAAGTGCGCGGTAAAGGCTCGTGGTGGTTTGTGAGGACAGTACTATTGGTCTAGAGTAACTACCTCGGGTCCGGTGGGGCCGGGGTGTTACAAATGGTATCAGAGTAATCCTGCGACCGTGTGTTGACCCGTTGGATATCGGGCAGGCACTTAGCGGGGGAAGATTCTGGGATTTGATTGAAATTTGAGATTGGTTCAAGGGCGCAACGAGGACGTTGCGATCCTAAGTGGGGGTGATTGTAACACTTGAGATTTAATATAAACGGATTAATAGTACTACTCATACCAACAAAGGTGCATCTCCTTTTAAGGGAGCTCATCACCCAAGAACTCCAAAGTTAAGCGTGCTTGCACGGGAGTAGTCTTGGGATGGGTGACCCCCTGGGAAGTTTCTCAGGGCGCGCATGAGTGAGGACAAAGTGCGCGATAAAGGCTCGTGGTGGTTTGTGGGGATAGTACTATTGGTCCGGAGTAACTACCTCGGGTCCGGTGGGGCCGGGGTGTTACATTTATTAAGACACAATGATCGCTTTTCGTCTTTGTGAAGTCATGCTCTGCCATGAAGGATTCAAACTTCTTGTACCATTGCCTCGGTGCTTGCTTGAGGCCATATAAACTCTTCATGAGGCGACATACCAGGTTTTCTTTGCCCGGAACTTTGAACCCCTCGGGTTGCTCCATGTAGATCTCTTCCTCTAGGTCGCCATGAAGGAATGCCGTCTTGACTACGAGTTGTTCAATCTCCAAATCTTGCACTGTTTTTATGCTATGTTTAAAAAACCGACCCGACCCGGCCGGGTTGACCCGGAACCCGGTGACCCGGACAAAAAACCGGTTCGGTTTTTTCAAAACCCGGAAATGGTCAAAAACCGGAAAAACTCGGCTGACCCGGGAAAACCCGGTCAAGACCCGGACCCAAGAAACCCGAAAAACCGGTAAAACCCAGTTTTTGGGTGTTTTTACCAAAAAAAAGTAATTTCTTTTTTATTTTTAATGCATTTGTTATACCAATAAAATTGCAATTTGAATACCTTAAAAAGAAAAACTACGTAATATATTTATATATTTATTTAAGAATCAACATCATGCCAAATTATAATATAGATGTACAATAAAAATAAAAATATAATTATATATTTTTATAAGATCAAAATATACATTGAAATATTATGAGAGTGTATTAAATGCTTAATAAGTAGTATTGTTAGTTGATTATTATGAATAATAACTAATTTTTATTATAATTTTATATATAATTATATGTTTACTATTATTATATAGACGTATAATCATTGACCGGTTTTCCGGCGTTGACCGGGTTGACCCACCGGGTCCGGGTTGACCCGTGACCCAGTCATGTGGCCGGGTCACTCTCCGGTCCGGTTTTTACAACATAGTTTTTATGGCAAGGACAA